CACGGAGCTCTAGTTCCAACTCTCTCGAAGTACTAACGTGACAACTGTAACCGAACAGAATATCGAAAGATGAACATGAGATTTTAACATTACGCATGAAGTTCAATGCAGATACCTTGCTAGTACAAAGAAATTTTTCAGGATAGTAGAGTCTTTCGTCCAAGTGCATAAATAAACTGTGATCGTGAGTGAACGGGCAATCAATTTCTGGGCCCTTCAACCCCTCAGAGTTTCACCTTACCCTCAAAGAAAGAGAATCGAAGATTGGAGAAAATGCAAATATTCTCAATTCTACGATATGAGTAACCTAAAAGAAAAGCTCATTAGACAAGAATTGTATTTTGATTCAATTATACATCTTACAGTTGTGACAGACTATGCTGCTCTGCCTCGTGGCCCAGTATTGATTCTGCTACTCCTCAACTCTTATTGGTAGCTGGAACTTGTCGCATAAATTCCCTATCATCTTGTTTACCAATTGTGATGGTTTAAAGTGCAAAAAACTGTCTTTGTAAAATAACTGAACCATCAAGCTGTCCAGAACACACCGGAAAGTAGTGAGTTCAGATTTCGTCGTTACCGACCGTTAATAAGTTGCTCAAAGATATTAACGGTTGTTAACCTCAAATCACACCTCCATTAATGTGTTAGCTACGATTTGACATATACCAACTCTCGGAGCTTGTATATTGTTCGTTAGTGTGTAGAGGAAAGCTCAAGTGATTGAACGAAAGAACTCTGAGGCATGTTGGCCTCCTGTCCTAATCTACAGCTAGCACTAATTGTCGTTATTATATCAGAGTAATAAAACTGACTCTAAGCAATATCCTGTACCGCTGGATAGCTGCTAGGTCGGCTATTCTTTTGTCTTTCCACAAATATCTCGACGATGAAATTTTCACACTGATTACATGACCTCTCCAAAATATATTTCTATTACCTTTTGCTGGTACTCATAGAACCCAGAAATATCAGAGTAAAAAGCCTTCTTTTAGCTCCATATTACTCTAGAAGCTGAAATTTAGCAAAACTGGTTGCACCTAACGAAGTTCAGGTTGAAACACTTGATAGAGTATCTGGATAAATTGCCTCATAGTTGAACCTCATCTCGATATCAATCATGACTGATGCAGAAACCTCACCGTGCTATACATGAAGCGCTTGTTTGAAGAGCCGGTTGAAGCGTATGTCGTCCTGTCAATGTCTGGTTTCGTATTTTGATGTATTACAAGATAACAGATGCATTCTTTTCAGATTGAGCTTGCTTTTTATTAATGGCGACTAAAGAGGAAGCACGACGTAAATTGGCACTTGTAATTGGCATTGGTAAATATGACTATTGTGAAGAATTACAAAATCCAGAAAATGACGCGAATGATATGTCTAAAGCGCTGGAGAGTATTGGTTTTGCTGTTACAAAGAAACTAGATCTGAAACGTGCTGAAATGAGATATGTTGTTATTGATTTCGAAGAATCAATAGAGCGCGACGATATTGTTCTATTTTATTTTGCTGGACATGGGATACAATGGGAAGTATGTATTAAGGTTTCATCCTTAAAAGTGATCCTAATTTTCTATGAATGTTTTATTTGTGGTACTTTTAGGATCAAAATTATTTGATACCAAAGGACACTCCAACTTTGAATGGTGCAGCTTTAAACACGACTGCAATCAATGCACAACATATTCTTGAAAATTTAAGTGATCACAATCCATATGTAACAATATTCCTATTGGATTGTTGTAGAAAGTATCACTTACGCAATCCTGAGGTAGACGCACGTGATCCGGATGCAAGTGGTTCAAAGTCAATAGGCCTCAAAGCTATGAGCAAGGCTGGTTCATTGATTGCATTTGCTTGCGCACCTGGAACTATAGCCATTGAAGGAAAAGGACAGAGAAATGGTTTATTCACAAAACATCTTTTAGAACATATTAAAACTGAGAATGAAGATATCCAAATGATATTACGTGATGTTGTCAAAGGAGTAAAACAGGAATCAAAATCAAAACAAATTCCATTCGTGAGCGCTTCATTATTAGAGAGGGATATATATTTATGTAGTCAACAAACAAAGCGACCGCATAAACCAGGTAAATATGCTAGCAAATTCTACTGTTCTCGTTTAAGTGAATCAAAAGATTCCCATAACAATTTTACCTTCGAATCATCTTTGTTTCTAACTATTTAGAAAATAACACATGAGACATTATCAGCATTTGAATTGGTTTTCGACGTAACATGAGACAAATATTATAAATAACATTACCGAAATAAACAGAGAACTTGGGTTCTTCCTTAGTCCCAATCTTTATAATGCTTGCGATTTCCATAGCTTGGCGTGGCTATTTCTTAGTTACGAGGGAAACTCTTCAGGTGTTTCATCATTTTTGGAGCTCATATGTTGGAGATATATAGAGGTTCACTGACATAGTCTAACCACAAAAGGATATGTGCGCATAGTCCTCTGAACGAACCATATCGTATCTTTAAGTCACATTTATTCGAACTGGAATTTTTATCAGATGGAGCAGATATTAGAAGCTAACTGTGGTATACGTTCGAGCAATAGCGTTAGTTGACTCGCGAAGATGTTGAATTTAGAACAACCATTTGGAAATCTGATGCACCCTAAGAATACTACCAAATGAATCAAGCTCTAAATGAGTTGACATTTTTATTGATTTTGGTTCTGACGATTCTTTTCTTCGTTGAAAAGCTGATTTCAAGAAAAATACAAAACATTGCGAAACACAATATTCTGTATAATACCTGGGTCATACTTGAAACCAAACTGGCCAGTTACGAGTCCGGTATGGTTGAAATTTTAAAGCCAATCGTTTTTCACTGATTTTTTATTGATTTTCTTTTCGGACATTAAAGCTGTTCTATTTCACTCAATTTTAACAATTTCCATAGTTTTAGTGATGAAAAGATAAGAGCCTGGCAATCTCCAACTAATAAATTTTCAGCCTTTGTTAAAATCTCAGCTCTGAATAGTGAGTTAACACTTTCTCATCGTAGGATGATAGTCTTGGATCATTCTAAATAAAATTATACTCGAAAAAAAAAAACTTAGCCAGATATTAGATGTTAGTTTTGGCCTAAACTAACGATTTTTCACCTCAGAATTTTGAGCTCATTATTCTGAACTCATTCTAACCAGCTCTCATAAAAGCCCAATAGCTAGTAATTTTCAGTTCATGACATCATTACAAAATATTAGAAAAGATTCCTCTCTATTGTCATGATTTTGCCAACTACTAGCATCATGTAACTATGAAAATATTGAAATATTAATAAACCTTAAAACTAGGAAATCTAGTGGAAAAAACGTACGTTTCAACTTACTTTATCTTTTTGTCACCAATAGCATGCTTCTAGGAATTGAGATGCCTTTCAGCTTTGTTAAATAATTACATCTAATAATAATAGATGAAACTAATCAATTTGAAAGAAATCTTTGTTCCTACTTGAGGATGTGTAGGTGTGGAATGTGGATGAAGACTAGTCGCACACCCATATTCAGTGAGTATGGGTGTGCAACTAGTCTTCATCCACACCTCACACTCATATCTATAAGTGGACACTAATGGACTTCCTCAACACTATACACTAAATATGAATGTATGTGAACCTTCTGACTGCACATCGAGCATCCTACGGTGTTA